TTGGAATTCTAACGCAAAACGGGATAACACAAGGAACGGGACAACATGGTGAAAAGGAAAACACCCCAAAAAGTGATCTTAACGGTAAACGGGATCCCACAGGAATCGGGACCACACCAGAAAACGGAATCCACGGGAATTGAGACTCCACCATGAAACAGGATCCCACAAGGAAAAGGGATCGTCGAACCACAGGTATTTGGTTCTACCGAGGAACGGGATCACAACGTGTTTTTGTCTCAACAGGGATTCAAGATCCCAACCTGAAAACGGGATCCCACAAATAGTGAGATGCCACAGGTATCATGATGCCAACTGGATATTTTTCCTACCATCATCGAGATTTCACATGTATCGGGATACCGAGAGGATCGAGAATCCATCGGTTATAGCATTCAACCAGGAGCAGGATCCAAAAAAGTTTCGCAATCCCTCCAGGCATTGGGACAACTTTGGTAAAAGAAAAAGGCTGTAGAAGTTGTTGTTTTCCGAATGTACTCCAGTGCTACGGGAGTATATTGGCTAGTAAAATATATTGTTATAAGTTAATATAACTGAAATAGGTATAGTTTTTTTTGCCTGAATTGAACTCATTTAAATAATCGCTTCTTAAAAAATAAAAAAAAAAGTAAAATTTAAAAAATGAAAAAAAAAAAAAAAAAAAAAAGAAAAAAAATAGGCATTGAAATGATTTATATGAAAAAAATTAATGATTTTTTTGGGGTTGCTATTTTCTTTTCTTTCTTTCAAGCGCTATTGCAATGGCTGCCTTTAAGTGAAGTGAATCTGCAAAGCTAAAGAATGCGAAACTGACTAGTAGGTACCTATGTGTCTAGATAATGACTTTATTGAAACTTAAGCAATAGTTTCGTGAGCTTTTTTTGTTTTTTCTCAAACCCACGGATTATATTTCGATCTTTTAGTGGAGCAGACGAGCGATAAGCGCATGTAAATTTGCTTTAACAAAATATAGAAGTGACCTTTGCATAAGCTCATGACTATAATATAAGGGTTGCAACTGTTAGTTGTTTTCAAATGAAACGCATGGCGGTCAAAGATCTCGTTTGAAATAGTAGAAGATACAATTTTTACACCGCATTGCAACGTTAATGGACCATCTCGACCAAATTCTACCTATTTAGCTGCTATTTGAAATCAATCATGTGAAGACCAAGTTAATGTTGCAAACCTTGTTGATTTAAATGAAGTCTGCGCGCATTGATTGTGGTAAGAGTCCATCCCCGATAGACGCTTGTCAACTCTTTTTATGATCCACAATATAGTGAACAGTTTTTTAGTTATATATATGTATATGTAATCTATGAAAGCAACACTGAACTATTTTTGTTTTAAAAATAAAGTTTCGTGATAAATGTACACACAAAAAAAAGGAAACAACATTGGCCCCTTCGACTGCCAGTAAATATTAATATATCTCCATGAATATTGATATAATTACTATGCATTTTGAAACGAAAAAAATGAGGGCAAGTGTTGGTGATGGAAAAAGAAGAACTACTTTAGCCAGGAAAGCCAAGTACAGCAATAATAGAGTATTCATTTATTTGATGTTTCTAAAATGTATTAATCTATTATTTTTTTCGCAATGTTTGAGTAACCGATTAAATGGGTTGTGCTATGCCAACCCCCAACCTCTTCTTGATTTGCGAAACATTTGTTTACGTTCGGACGCAAATTAATTTGATCTTAAAATAGCTATCAGGTAACCCAATGTCTAGAAGTTATTTGCCACATAGTTCTGATTTAATCCTAATATATACAGCTTTCCTGTCGAGGATCGACGTAATATATTTACTGTATTCTACTCTTGAAGTGTATTTGTATCTTTCCCTTGGTATGCTCTATGTTTATAACATATTTGTCCGTTTTCTATATATTTGGAGCTTGTATTTCATAGAAATTGTATAGTTGTATTAAATTAAATATTGGTAGAATAGCTAGCCATTTTGTCGTTATCTTTTTATACTGGTTTTCAGCCCTTTGTTACCTTGTGTTTATTTAACCGACAGTTAAATTTCATCATGCAAGTAGTGTATTAACTTAGTTGCAAGCGATATATTTTAAGGGTATATCAGCAATTTAAATGTATATTATGTAAATAGCGTAAATTTTTTGATTTAGAAAATAAAAACAACAACATGAAATGAGTTGTCGTATCTGTCTAGTTGTAGTTTAAACTAAAAAAATCGAAATTTTTCGTATCATCAAATTCCGCGTTTTTCATGTGGACAGCTCAGAAAAAACGAGAATAATAATGTCTGATTTAAGTCTTGTAACTCAATTTTTTATTTGATACCTACATCCAAAAAGACATAAAATATGCATGTTTTTAAATAGTGAGAACAAATAAATCAACATTAACTGATTAAATAGGTCAGCAGTCACCTCTAGTAATCCTACAGGGATTGATTTGTCACTTGTACGTGGTCGATCTTGAAGTCTCCACCTTGACACATTTCCTGGTCTCAAATTAGGTTGAAAATAAGTTAACCCCGATGAAAAACAAAACAATCCTTTAAAATTAATATATCACCAATAACATCTGCTGACCCTTTAGCGATGAACCCAGAGCAAATGACAATAATAATCTACAGAATGGATACGTCACAAGTGACCTCAATCGCCCTTTGAGTGAACTTTGCATGTTGAATCTTTCATCTAACTTTTATATCACTCCCCGAGCTTTCATGTAAATATTGTTTTCATATTATGTTTACTCAATACAATTTTTAAAAAATGAACACATTAATTATAAAATTAAGACATGAAAAACATTCTCTTTTAAATTTGTGTAAAGCTTTTATTAAACTTATTGTTTATTTTATTTTTATTAAAGTTTTATTAAAGTCATAACGAATTTGCGTCAATCATTTTCAAGACGTTACTCATTGCATTTGTGAAACATAATTTTTCATATCTATTTTTGAACAGTGTTTCTTACTTGTTTTGTGAAATATAATTTAATATGTAAAAGGAAAATGAATATTTATTTTTAATTTTTTTTCTATATTTGTTCGGAGAGTTATACCCTAGTGATCAAATCGCAATGTTATAGTCAAAAACTAGGTTAAATGATCCTGGTTTAGGATTATAATTAACATTTCTAAATCAAATAAATGTAGCAACAATTCTATAAAAGTGTAATTGCATAGAAAATATATTCACTACCTTATTTTTTGAGTAAGTTTTTAAATCGCATTGTTTTGATTTAATGTAAACTGGATATGTGAATTAGATGTTTCGATATGAGAAAAAAACGATCAAAATGGAAAGAATGTTTTAAAAAAATAGTTTTTCACTCTTTTGTTTTTCAATAATCAAATATCATTTTTTATTGACATTATTCTTGCTTTTTTAAATATTTTATTTTCGCAATCTATTATTAAGAAATTATTTCTCTTCTAAATGAAACATTATTTATTTAAAACTAATTGCGAAGAAAAAGTATTTTAACAAAGCAAGAATAAAAAACCACTTAAATTGAATCAATTCAAACGTGCATTATTAGATATTCAAAAAAAAAAAAAACGATAAGTTAAAGGCGCAAAATTGTTTGTTGACAAATAAATGAAATGTATTCATATACACAAAGTTATGTGTACATTTGGAAACAATCATTTTGTAAAACGTAGTTGCAGTATTTAAATTAAAATAAGTATCTCATACATAAATATTTTTATAATAAAGATTATCATAATAAACTAAAATGTTTAATTGTATTCTTTTCATCTGTTTATATTCAACAGTTTGTTAAAAAAATTACTATTAAATAGTTCACAAACATCTGCAGTAAAATGACATTTAGCTTTAACGAGGTTTGTAGAACGCAGGGATCGTGAATATTTTATTGTTAAATGTGGCCATAATAGCCAACATGCTGTTTGCTTTTGAATATGCATTACAAAGTAGATTGTTTTAGTGTGTTGAGATTTTATGTAACGTTTTATTGTTCCAACACCCAGCTGTTTATAACAGATGGTAACTTATGGACGATAGCACGACATTATCCTATGTCTATACTTTTAATGCTACTGAGGAAAACTGTGGAAATTTTTAAAATAAAATAAAATTGTGGGACATATGCAATTTTAAAGTCTAGGATGCAAGAGGCCTGATGAGCACTAAGTGGCTAGTGAAACCTCTGGAACTCAATTAAAATACTAAAAAAATAATAAAGTTAAATATGTTTAACTCAAATTGTTAGGCATATCTTCTATATGGCTCAGAAACGTGGCGAAAATTTAAAAAAATAAACATTTAAAAAAAATGGTGGTTATTATAATCAGTTGCATCCCAAGGATTCTCAAAATAAAATTGTTGGAAAAAAAATTGTAACGCTGGAATATGGGCTAAATTATCAATTGTTCAAATGAAAACGAAAATGCAAAAGAGAAAATACAGTTGGATAGGGAGCACATGAAGTAAACCAAACACTAGCTTCACAAGGCAGGTACTCAATTGGAATTCTCATGTTACTAGAAAAAGAAGAAAATCAAAAACCACATGGAAGAGGGAATTAGAGGCAGAGGTGGAGATAGTGAAGAAAAGTTGAACTGAACTATCAAAGATAGCCCAGGAAAGGGGGAGGGAAAAATGTATTGTGGATAGCCAAAGCCCGCTTGGAAGTGAGAAAGTGTCAGAAGAAGAACAAGTATATAAAATGATGTATACTTGACATAATTGTATTTGATATATAATAAACATTAAGTAATAATTAATTTTAAAAATAAAAATTAATTAAAGTTCAAACAAGTTTAAAATTAAACAAAAGCGATAAAAAGCAAGTTAAGAAAAAGCAGCATTAACTGTGAATTAAAAACAAATATTACTAATTAAATTAGTAAACTTAAATAAAAAATATTTTTAAGAAAAAAGCTGTAAAATTGTGGGTAAAAATATTAAGTTTTATTTTATCTGTAGAACTGATATTTTTATTTAGAAGCTGTTTAAAGTTTTACAGCCAAATTTTAAATATTTTACCCACATGTTTACTTACTAAATGTTACTAATTCTATGTTTTTCTGTCTTTCTTTTCTAAAAACTACTTTTAGATATATATGGTTTTTGTCTCAGATATGTTCATTTTAAGTTAATGTAATGTGTTTTTAAACTGCTCAGGGAGATATGTACATAATTTAAAAACAAAGAAAAAAAACAATTGTATCATAAAGTTACCTGGTGTCAAAAGAAGTTCAAGATTTATTTTAATTGCTTAATGTGCCATATCCCTCTAAATAAACAATTACTCGTTTCCCTCCTCTAGATGAATTATCCAACGACGTGTACTGGTTTTGTAATTCTTTTTTTAAGTCTTCTTCGGTATAATTTTCTCCTTTAACATTTACATCAACCTTATTTAAGTTAAAATCACGCACAATCTCCTCATAATGGCTTTGGTCGTTAAATTTTTCAACGTGCTCCTCAGAAACATTGAAGATCTGACGATTTACTACAAAATATTTATTAATTCGCTGTATGACATTTGATACATTTCTTATATTGTTCAAATCTTTACGAAAATATGAAGTAGGGCGTGCTGTAGTTTGCAAGTTAGAATCTGTTTAAATTAAATGAAAAGAAAGAAGATTAGTTTAAAAGTATTTTTTTTTATAATAAAAACTTTACATCGTTATCGTCATTGTCATTTTGTATTTAAAAATAATGTTTCTTTTACGTTATATGTTTATGACCAAAAGATAAAAGAGGTTAAACAATTGTTATCCTTGTGTTTTAATGAATTTTCTTTGTTTTCTCTATACTTTTTCTTATTTTTTTTTAAAATAATGTTTATGTTTATTAAAGGATGATCACAGTTTTTTAGCTAATTTCAGGTTTCAATAATTTAATAAATTGATAAAGAAAGAAAAAAAAAACTAATTAAACAAAATTGAAGAAAAAAAACTAAACATTATTATTGAAGTCTGAAAGAAGAAATTAATATTTAAAGAATACATTAGCCAAAATATTTCTTTCACAAAAGCGATTAGCTCAGTTAAGCTTTAAAACATATATTCACGGATAACCAATGCAAAAATTAATACTTACCTTTCCTTTTAAGCCTAAAAAAAAAATAGGCCAATAGGAGAAACGTAAGGCATACAGCACCCGTTGCAACTGTGACATTAATAATCTTGAGAATATGGGACTCTTCAAGAGCTTTCATGATAGGAAAAAATAATTGACATATATTTTTAAAAAAAAACAGAATAACAATAAAAGCTCTAGACAAGGGGTCGGGTACCTATGGCTCGCGAGCCAGATTGTGGCTCTATTGATGGCAGCATCTCGATTATTAAAAAAGGCGCATTATTGGTAAGAAATATTCATTATTGATTAGCAAGAGCAGAACAATGTTATCAAAAGAATTCAGAGCCATAATTATTGCATTTTTTAGTGTTGACTGTACACAAAAGGCACACATTTACTTGAATTTTTAGTTTTAAACATAATGTATGGCACTCACAGAGTTACATACAAAATGTGTGGTGTCCCTGGCTCTCTCGAACAAAACGGTTCCCGACCCCTGCTCTAAACTCTAGGATGTTAGACTGATTAAAGGAAATTAGATAAACTGATTAATTATTTAGATAAATTAAAAAGATAAATTAACAAACCTAGATAGATATAAAGTTAGATATATAACTTGTGTTTATCCATTAAATTAATTTGTTTTTACCTGTAGGCCTTCTTGTTGAAGTGTCATTATGTGACATAACTTGTTTGCTTATTTCTGAAATGACGCATTCGTCTTTTAGTAATAAATGATTGTACTTTAAATATTATATTTTTTACCATAATATTTAGAAAGATTTTGAAATAAACATAATTAATTTTTTTTAATTTAATAACATTAGTGGTTTTTTTCTTTGTTTCAATTTTTTTTAAGCTTAAATGATGACACCATAGGGAACTATTTTTTTTCTAAATTCAATAAGAACGACCTGAGCACGAAACAAATTAGAAATATTTATTTTTAATTCCATGTTCTATCGAGCTTAAATATAAAAAAAAAGTTGGATTTTTTTTTGTTTCTTTTAATTTTCAAGTACATAATAATGTAGTTTTTTTTTTTTTTTTTTTTTTTTTTTTTTTTTTTTTTTATTTTATTTTTTTTTTTTTTTTTTTTTTTTTTTTTTTTTTTTTTTTTTTTTTTTTTTAAATATGCTAACGATAGCAATTATTAAATAGCCTCAAAATGCAAAAGAAGAACAAAATCAATGTTCAATTAAACAAACACTATTTTCAATATATACAAATAAAAATGGGTAGATCTGAGGGATCAAGCAGAGACAGCTATTTTTCAATTTTTGTGTGAATAAATAGTAGGTTTCTAAATAAGTACAACCATTTGACAATATAATATAATTTCAAGCAGCGCTATTGCATGGGTAGGTAAACTGTTCCTAATCGCAAGGCTCAAGCCAGTTCGTCTGAAACAGACCGTTTGTAATAGTCATCACAACCCATATGCAAATCGTGATAACGGTGTATGAATTCGCAAGCCCCTTACATAAAAGAGCTTTATAAAAAAACAAAAAAAAACAAGCATAAGTTTCTCCTTAAATTAGTCAGCTTACACTCTATTTGTGATTTCTCATTTTATTTGATAATTATAAATAATTCTATACGAATTCAAACGTCTACAGTTTCCGGATTGCATTTGCAACGATCGTCAACAAAGAACAGGGACAATCGGTAAAAGAGTGTTGACCAAATTTAGAAACTCCATGTTTCTCAATTGGACAACTGTATGTGGCCTGTTCACATCTCACATGGAGAGCTATATATGGCTTGTTGACTTCTCATATGGACAGCTATATGTGGCCTGTTCACTTCTCATATGGACAGCTATATGTTTTCTACTCACGCGTCGTAAATCTTCTGAATTATTAGCGTACACACCAGATTAAAAAAAAACTAAATAGATTGTGTATGCAAAAGCACTTTAAGAAAAATATTTAATATGCACACACACAGACTATCTTACTATGAGTGCCATTGCAAGTCTTGTCGGCTATACGATTGTAGAAAAATAAACGTTACCTTTAAGTGAATTAATATGATTCTAAACAAAATGAATTTTACTGGACTATACCATCAAGGTGCAACAGTGACCCACCTTGAATTACTATGTATTTTTTATACATTTAAAAAAAAACAACTGAAATCCACATTTACTAGCATTTTAAATGAAATTGTCGATGTTATGTTGTAAATGAAACTTTGACTCTCATCCTGTTGATCAGAGTTTGATGTGATGACTCACCTCGCTAGTGATTAACAGTGGTTAAGTGAAAATTCCTGTTGTCCCTCGTTAATATAATGAACAACTGAGTGAAACTTTTGCATTGTTTCGATTTTCTTTGAGACTTCAAATAATATATCACGCGTTATGCTTTGCTCAGTGGTGTCACTAGAGTCGTGCGACGGTTGCGGACCACACCTGGTGACCCCCAATTTAAAAACTGCATTTATAGCACAGACTCCTGGGTCTATCCAAGATTCATGAAAGAATAACCGATCATACATACACTTTTTTTGTTTTATAAAATTAACCAATCCAAATGCGTAGTTTATCAAATGTTCAATGTTGATACGTTAGAAATGAGATGACCTTATGATTAGGCCAGAAAAACAGGGTCATTTTTTCAAAGCCGATTGAAGTCTTTGGTAACTTCCGTTCCATAAGTGACAGTAAGCAATATTTCTCTAAATTCTGAGAAATAAGGCCATCCGTTGATACCAAATGCGGTCCGGTCGGGCGATTATAAGTACAAGAATCGGTAAAATTAAAAATATTAACATAATTTTTTACCCATTTATGCGATTAATAATATATTATTTTAAGGATTAATTCTCATTTATTTAAATTTAAAAACTTTTTTTTAAAAGAAATATATAATATTATATATCGAAACCCAGAGTTACTGAGAAATTAATATTTGATAAAATTCGTCATTAGTACCACCCTTAAACATTTGAACACGTTTGTCATATTAAGACTGCAGGGTTTTTCCTGCTATCTCTCTGTGTTCTATTTTGGACAGAGCTCTGACTGGTGTTTTTAACTATCGTAAGTAATTATTTTGTTTGTTGTCAAGAACATGACAAAAATAAAGCAGTTGTATTGTTGAAGATTATTCTATTATGCCACACGGCGTGTTAATATAAAAGACAAAACCTTGCACATTTATCAGATGCTTCTCTCTGGAATTGGGAGCAGCGCTTAGATTACCCAAATCAATTCATGCCGAAAGCAGTGCTGTGATGGACAGGGAGAAGAAAAAGGGGCGGTAAATACTGCACAATTTGATGGGTATCCCATTGTTTCTTGCAAAACAAGATGTGGCATTTCGCGTCCACAACAAAGATGAATCTTCACTGACATTCTAGAAATGGCTCAGATGCTATCTAAGTATGACACAGTGCTAAAAAAAAGCACCAAATAAGACTAAAGAGCATTACATCAAAATACACAGCATCCGCATCTTCCCTTAAACAGAAACTCAAAATGATATGTATATATTTGAATATGGTGAGATCATCTGGGACCCACACCTTAAGCAAGACGTTGGCAAGATGGAGCGAATTCAACGTAACGTGATACTTTTTATCACTCGAGCCTAAAAATCCACCACTTCTGGCGTCGTCACAGGTCCCTTAAACAGATTTGACTCCACCCCCCCCCCTTAAAAACAGACGAGAGGGACTCCGCCTGACATTCTTATATAAAGTGATCATGGGACTGGTGCCGGACATCCCAGCAGGCACGTACCTCACTCCACAGAAGACGGGTAAACTGATTAGAGCAAAACGCTCACTAAACGCGGACTTGGCCACTGACATTCCCATAAACAATTACACCCGAAGCAATAGCAAATGCTTCATCGTGTCTCAGTGCAACACAGTGCAGTATCAACAATCTTTCTTCCCACGCACAATGATAACATGGAACCACCTGGACGATGCCACTGTGAACTCGACAGCGGTCGAAAGCTTCAAGGCTGCCCTGGCATCAGCTAGGAGCTGTTAGAGTAGCAACATCATACACCCAACCGTTGCAAAGATGCCAGTACATGGATGCAGCAACGAACATTACCAGAGCCAGAACCAGAAATGTCCATGGAAATGTTGAGAAGGAGATGCTTATCACGGAAATAAAGGCTACGAGGTATTTTGGAATTATTTTCGAAAGTACACCAGATTTATCACACAATGACCAGATTTGTGAAGTGATCAGTTATGTGAAAATCTACAATGGAAAAGTTGAAGTGAGAGAAGTGTTTCTTGGATTTTCGCGTTAAGAGGGAAAAAAAGCTGATGCCTTGAGTCCTGCCATTCTTGCATTCCAAATTGTGATGGACTAGACATAATGTATTTCATAGTTCAAGGTTACGATAATGCTGCCACAGTGTCTGGAATCAATTGAGGTGTTTAGGCCCTTCGGTAAAAAAGGTAAAGAAAGCAAATTTTAATGGATGTGTGGGCCATTCGCTTAACTTGTGTGATCAACACTCTTTTGCAGAACATGCTTCACGTATTACATTAAAATTTATCAGTACTCTTGAAAGAAAAGGTTCCTTCTTTCCTTCATCCACTAATCAATAAAATATTCTAATTGAACACACGGGAATGTCGTTGAAAAGACTGTCAACAACGCGTTGGAGTACTCATTATGTTGCTGTTGAAACAGTGAAAATAATTTTGATTAATTTTGCGGCGTTAGAAGCTCTGTCTAATCCTCTTTAAATGTCGATACAAGCGGTGTAGCACAAGGTTTTTTTACACATTGTCTGTAATTTCACGTTTATCTGCAACCTTTACCATTGGGGTGATCTACTTGAGGAAGGTAATCTTACACAGCAGTATCGGCAGTCTAAAGGCTTTACTTTTAACAAAGTGGTGACACACCAAGAGGCCTTAAGATTGTTTCTGCTCGAAAAGTGCTGCCACTTGGTGGAACATGGTATTAAAAAGGCACTTTAAAAATCAGACCAATATGGAATTTCGGTAGAGAGAAAATTAAGGATGAAGAAGTGAATAGCAGAAGATCAATTAATAGAAGCTGAACTCTCTCTGTGATAAGAAAACAGTGAGGAGATGCTGCAGGTATTGGTCGCTTTTATTCTAAACTCCAGATAATAAAACCAGCGATCAAGGAATTAGCAGATATGTTTGGGGCTGTTGAACCCAAGAGTCCAATATCAGCCAGTAAAGAAGAGTTATTTGTGTCCGTTCCAAAATTAACCTATTTCTATCATGAGTTATCAGAAGATGAAATTTAAAAAAAAAAAAATATTGCTATGAAGATACCTAAAGGCAGCTGATATTAAATTTCACAAAGACATGGCCTGGACAGTATTTATTTTTTGAATTTCATAGCTGAATGGGATTTCCTAGAATATTTTCCAATACTCTCACTAATCCTTCAATTATTTCCTACGATTTGTGTGTCTGTGGCCTCATGTGAGAAGAGCTATTAAGAACTAAGTTCTATTAATAACTATTTACGATCCACAATGGAAAAGGCCAAGCAAAGGTTTTCTGATCTGGCTCTGCTATCAATTGAAAGTGATACGCTGAAGGGAAGGACATTAATTTTGATCAAGTGATTGACATGTTTGCAGCTTTGATGATCAGGAAGAGAACATTTTAAACAAATCAAACTTAATGTAAAAATAACTATAACAAAAAGTTGTGTTTACAGTTTTTGTTATACTGGGGACTTAATT